TGACTAGCTGACCGTCGCCTAACATGCTCTCTGTGGCCAGCCACGGCTGCTCTTTAGAAGGACAAGAACCAGCATTGCCACTGAAATACCCCAGTACAGCAGACCTGCCATGATGCTGATGGCTCGGAGGCATTTTGGCCAAATTCAACCAGGCGCACTTAGCTGAAGTGGCACACTGGCTCCGTGACCAAACCCTAAGTGCCTGAGCTGCTCCATCCACCACGCATCTCCTCGATGAGCTACAAAAGGCTTTTCAACCCCACTGCCACTCCTAGCTCCCAAGCGCAAAATGACTTCAAAGCCAAAACAGCATCTGCCTGCACAAGCTGGTGCCAAATCTGAGCCAACAAGCAGGATCCAAGTTTTAGACACAGGCTGCATGAACTGAGCCTAATCTTTACTAGGTATCTTAATGGTAGGAATGGGATTTAAGCCAAATACTTACATGGAAGAGCTCCTTCCCCTCCTCTTTAATATTTTGTTTCTCTCTCTTCTCTAACCAGAACAGTTAAACAATCTATAAGGTCAGGCAATCTGTGTTCCCAAATTAAGCAACCAAAACCAAGCCTAACTTCAAACCACTTACAGATGTCTTCTTTATGGGCTTAATGCAGTAAGCTCAAGTCAAAATTTAATGCTGATGACTTAGCATCCTGACGACTCACAGGACTTCATATGAGCTAAATACACAGAACTTCTCTTTATATTGTAAAGGCAAAAAAGCCAAAGTAAATTTATTCTTTGCTAATACAAACTATTCACTTACTGACATCTTTGCAATGTTAATATTTAGAATAACTTCTGGTGCCTTTGGATAAAACAAAGGAAAAGTGTCTTAGTGGAAAAGTTGAAAACCTACCTGTAAAATTGATATATCCTTAAATAGGAATTTGTTTTAAATTTGCCCTGTGTTTCTTGAGACCCTACTCTGACAAATGACAAAGCTGTTAGCAGGTCCAGTGGAAGCATATCTCTATAGGCTTACAGAACTGAAGCTCTATTAACAGATGGTTTAAACAAAACCAACCTCTTGAGTAGGGGGTAAAAATCTTTCATTTGTGCATGCTTAAGTACCATCAAAATATTCTCCTAAAAACATTTTTGACTGTTTCTAGCCATATATAAGGAACAGATGATCTTTGAAATGCAGGTCCGTTGACCGAAAGTAACAAATACTTGGAACAGAATTAGTTTCTATGGGATATCTTCTGCGTATTTGATTTTCATCAATGTTTCTCCATGCAGAAACTAATGGAGTTTCAAGAAGACTCTAGATAAGTTTTACAGAGATTATTTTTTTAATACTACAATTACAGCGCACACTTTCAAAAGAAAATCTTCTCTCATCTACAATTTTCAGTAATTCAATTTGTTTCTGACTTTTGGTACCTTAATTGCAACTATTTTTGAGGACTTAATCCTTTAGCTATGTAGCTCATTGTGGCCTTGTATGAAAAGGCTAGAAGTTCAGGTTCTAATATTTGCATGGATGACAGTTTTGTGGGTGTAAAAGTATACATCAAGGTTTTCCGTCATAAATGAAGAGGGTAAATCTTACTTGTTTAGCAAGGGCACTCCATAGTACACTTTTTGAATGATATCCTAGATTCAATATCTTTCACATTCTGTTTTCTTCTCCTCAAAGTAAAAGAAACAGGACATTTTACACCTGATCTTTTTTGATTCCATGCTATTTCTCTTCACTAACAATCTCTGAAATTTGGTATCTTCTCTGTCCTCCTGTTTGATTTGCCCCATCTTAATAACTCAGCAGATATCATGCACAGCCGTGTGTGTATGTGTATGCAGTGGTGGTGGGATTTGAGATGGTGAGGGGTGAATCGAATTTAACAACCAAGCAAAGAACCATCAATAAAAACAGTTTTCTTCAATGCGAAACTTCAAACAAGGGAAGCAAATGCTTTTGTAAGCCAGGAAAAAAGCTTATAATAGTGTATTAATACCCAAAAGTTAATAGAGAAAAATGCTTATTGAAATACATGCAAGGAAACAGAGCTTTACGAGAATTAAATGAGAAAAGTACGGTAGTTTAAAGCACAGAGAACACAAGAACAAGAACTGTTTTGTTGCCTTGTCAAAAAATAGAAAACATGATGCCCATACTAAAGTCAAAATACGACCGAAGACCAAAGGAGCAAAACGTGCACTGCTACTCTCTTTTTGAGTATTTCCTAAAGAGCTCTTGAATGCTACGTAAAAAACACTGTGCTGACTGTCAGATTTAAAAAAAACAGTCTGAGGCAGGAACTAACTTTTACAATGTCATATGAAATGCGAAAGGACTATAAAAAATATTGATTCAAGACACATATATACACGTACATACAGCCGTGTAGATTCCAGTTTCCTCTCATGGAACTAGGCATCTCCTCCCATCCTCCCTAATAATTCTGTGTTTCTCCAAGCGCTCTCCAGGCAGGTCAGTTTAATACAAAAACCTCAAAACTCTACCTTGGTGTCATGGCGTACGGCTGAGACCGGGGTGACTTCCTCTGCTCTTTTCTTTTTGCCCTCTTCATCATCTTTCTCTTCTTCTGCCTTCTTCTCTGGAGTCACAGTGGTTATCAAATTGGTCTGAGAGATGCCCTTTGTTGTGGCGTACTGGCCAGTACCAACCTCTGCAGCAGACACAGAATCCTTCATGTACATTTCATGGTTTTCATTCACTGATGCTAAAAGCAAATATTTAAAGAGGGAAAGTCTGAAATAGCTTTTGCTGAGAAGCTGCATAAAATTAAAAAGCTGGGTTAGTAAAACATTTGAGATATTGCCGAAAACACAACCATGTCATGTTTTAGGAAACCAGAAGCATGTGCATACATTTAAATAAACTGTTTACTCGAAATAAAGCTTGTAGCTTTTATATGCATAAACATATATTATGGATGTGTATACACACATTGCTGTAGCTAATGTGTGCATTACACAGTTGTTAAATGTTAGCAAGCCATTAAAAGTGCTACTGTAGTAAAACGATCAGAAAAAAATCAACGCGTTGCCACAGTTATCATCAGGCAAGAAACATAAGGAAAACCAGCTATGACATCAGCCATGGGGGTGGAAGAGATTTTTTTTTTTTTTTTTTAAATCTGTCAGAAGACAACAATGCAGTTCAAATGCCCTGTAAGTAATGTTGCTGCATTGTAGGAAATGACAATATTTATGTAACACAGGCTTAATATCTGAGAATCAAGAAATGGGATCTTTCTATTATTCAGTATTAAAGTCTGCCAGTTAAGTGAGCTCATTATCCTAAAAAATTCTGGAAGGTGATGGTATTCAATTCAGTGGACCAAACCAGAATATTTTAGGATTTACATGTGTGGTAATTCAGCGAACTTAAATATATATTAATGGTTTTGAAATAAATAGTAAATTTACTGAAAGAATGTAATCAAAACTAATATATAACCAGACCCTGCACTTGACTATTGTGTAACTAATTTCTAAGTCAACAGGACTATTCAAATTTATAAAGTTATTTGCATCTGTAACAAACGCCAGGGCCAGGATCACAGTGTACACAATGCAGAATACTACAGCCATGTTTGTGTTATAGTAACAACATTAGTGAAGAAATCATAAGCTTTGATTAAAAAAACCTCTTTTCCCCATTTGCACTTAGGCAAATTAACATCATAAAAACCTTGCGGAGTCTCACAAACACCGGGGAAAAAGCGTTTGAGGTATCGTGTTTCTTGAGAATGAGCTTAGGAGGCGGGAGAAAGCAAAAGGGGTAGAGGGAGACATTTTGTTTAGATGTTACAAACAAAATAACGCAGAAGGATAATTTCTGCTTTGAGACACATGCACAGCAATCAGGTCACCAGTTGCTTGGTAACGAGCAAGCAGCACATCAGAATTAGAAGATTCCAAAATAATTAATGACAAGCAGCACCTTTAGGGGGAGAAAGGAAGTCTTGTCACTAGTACTTTTAAATCAAAGCTTCTCCCCATCCCCACCACCAGCTATACTCATTGCAATTTGTTTGTGATATTCTGCAGGAGAATTCACCTTTTTTTTTTTAACCTGTAGCAATTCTGAATTTAGTCTCAGTCTTTTTTTCTTAAAAAAAAAATAGTAGTACAACCTCTTTTTACTCAGTAGCTGACAACAGTAACAGCTGATGAAGTAGGTGAGACTCTGAACCACGTGCTGGTTTAAAATTAAGGGAGCAGTAGAACTGTGACCTCCATGAACCACGGAAAAAGTGAGGAGGAAGGACATACTATTAACCTGCATATGTTACTCTCCATCTCACACCTTCAAAAGTAATGTATGGAAAAAGCCTGTTAGCACTCATCCAACTAGGACGTGAGGTAATCGGAAGCAAGTGTTATTACTCAATCCAGGGAAATAATTCATTCATCAATTGTAACACATACTTAAATGAAAAACCTACATAGAAGAAAAAGCCAAATTAAACCAAAACCCAAACAGTTACTCATGCAAACCCTGAAAAAGTGTTGCAGCCAGCAGACCTGAGCGCCCCATCCTTCCCCAGAGCAGGGAAGTGCTTTGCAGGCGTGAGGCCAAGGGGGAGAGAGGCTCCACAGGAGTGGACTCCCAAGGACCTCCTCCAGGCAAACACTTTGTCGGGACAGCAGCAGTATGTTTAGCATGTTTAGCACAGCGTTCCTCTGCACCCTCCCCTACCCCTGCAGTGAACGTCCAGGTACTCACAGCCTCCACTCAGCCGAAGCTCCAGGAGACGAGATGACAAGAGGTTTACACCTAATCTAAAGCAGTGACCACTGTGATGATAACTTTTGACAAAGGTAATTAAGAGGACCTTACCCCCATCTAAGCTGCGAGACATAGTGTAACGTTTACTAGAAGACCGCTCAAAGTAAGGTGCGGGACGGTCTATGAGGGCACTGGCTCTTCTCGTCTGGGCCTGCGTCCGGCCGCTGTAGCGAAACTTGGAGCCCAGCGTGAGGAACTTCTTTGGAGGTGCTTCTGGTAGCAGGAGCCTAAAACACACCAAGCAGTGCACCTGTTACTCCCCCTCCTCCAAAAATCAGTCCACTGTTTCTGGAGAGAAGACGACCATTGCGTAGCACTCTCCATCGTAACCTGTGCCTCACGGGTCTGCAGCTAAAAGGCATACAGCATGACAAAACCGCTGAGCTAATGCATCTGAAGAGCTGAGTTCTTCCCAAGGGGCAAGAATTACTCAGTCCCTTCCTGCTTGAAAATCAGACGTATTATTTTCTAATCCCCAAAAATAAAAATAAGGTGCTCTTTGTATCAGGGACACTGATCTGGGCTGAAATAGATATATCTCTTATACTTCAAATTTAACATGGTATTGCTACACTGAGGACAGGGACAGAATGGATTTCCCATGAACGCAGGGCAGTATTCATTCACAGGGATGCAGACATTTTTCAGGTTAGAGCCTTCCCACCCTCTGTATTTTGGCTATGGGGGTTTGCTGAAGAAGCCACTCTCCTACTATGGAGTTTATGCTTTAGACATTGATTTTCCATTAAAAATCAAAAAACACACCAAAAAATGCACACTCAATTTCTTTTTAGATCTTTTGCTTTTAAGACTGCATTTCATATGGACATACAGACAGCCTGAACCAATAGCTTTAGGAAAAGAGACACATTCTTCAGTCCTGCCAAACATCTTCAGAGGGTTTTTTAAGCACTGGACACACTTTAATGCCATTGAAAATCTCACACTTTTGGGTTCCCATTGCTAAGTACCTCCTTGCTGCCTATCTCAGCACAAACTAATTACAGCATTTATTCCACTACCCCAAACTTTTCTCAGGTCTTCTTAGATGTTAAAAACATAGCTGCAAAAATCCTCAGGAACACAAAAATTACAGCTATGGATTGGGTATCCTGGGTGACCAAAAAAATACACCACCGACTACTGTCTGTATTTTCATTTCTAATTAAATAAAAATATCCTTTTTTTTTTAACTCTTGCCCACATCCTCCAGTAACTTTCCATATGTTGTTCTTCCTATACAAGCATATGTGCAGAAGTGCAGCAGAGTCCTTCGTCTCTTTAATTACAGTGGCTGATAATATCATGGCACAGATAAAGTGAAACGATTAATTGGGACCATATGGTGATTTTAAACATTCAGTATCCATCTGAAATAGTATGAATAATTTGGGTGAAACATTTCACGTTTTTAAGAAGCAATAACCATCCCTTGTCTGCTCGGAGATACCTCGTGATCAAAAAGGCAATTTGGTTCAAAGGGTTTTGCCTCTGCCGACAGAATCGCTCTTTTCTGTTGCGTTTTATGGCACACCTTCAGGAAAAGAAATCCACGTACCTGAAAAATGTATGGTGCTCAACACACACTTTCCATAAGCGCTTTGCAGCACGATGATTTGGCAACTTAAACCCAATAGTGCTTTCAAACTGCTCGAACTAGGTAAGAAAAAAGAAAAAGGATGTGTTTGATGATGGGCATCTATTTTTAGACAGCGTACACAGGTTCATCTTTATTTCCTCCGTCTATATAATCTCATTGCAAGGCTGAACGTATATGTTCATGTATATAAACACGTATGTACATATTCTGCAGGCTACTGTCTGGGAAGGAAGCTGAGAGCAATCATCAAAGCAAACTTTGAGGATCATTTTTTGAGGGAAACACACATAATGAGCAAGAGGTTTTTGATGGTGCCAGCGGTGTTTTATGCCCTGTAATAACAAAAAGATCAGTTAAGACTTGCGAGACTTCTGGGAAAAACATAATTTAAGTGTTTTAACCCCGTTGTTTTAACTTCACCAGTTTAAACAAACAGTGGGTAATAGCCTGGAGGGAAGCAATAGGGACCGATCTGGTCTCACACAGCCTTAGATTAAGGAGATTTACAGTGAAAGAACTACAGTTAGTAAATCACAGTGGTTTTTAGCTAATTCATCTCCTGGAGAGGATGAGGAAAAGACAGGTAATTGAAAGAGTCGGCTGGGGATACTAAGAGACCTTTGCTAGGTTGTGCTGCAGATTTACATATTCCAGATGCAAAAGCTGTGCCAGCTACAACCGCCGTAACATGTCGATGGCTACATGCAGATAGCAGAGTAGGTGAAGTAGTGTTGCTGTGACCAGGGAAAGGTAGGCAGAAGGGCCCTTGCAAGGAAGCCTGGTTCCCTACAGGGAGCTGACAGAGGGAAACAAGGCAGGAAACAGCAAAAGAACAAAGACGATACAAGTGACACATGGGATGCTGAATCACATTATCATCGAATGTGATTTGGAAAGAGACTGCATTGATTATTTTGCAGAAGGAACTATGACCTGGCCTAGGATGCTACATACCAAGACCAGCAGAGCTCAGCAGGACTTCAGTGGTGGAGAGCTTGAGTGCAGGCACTGGAAACATCAGTGGCTATTCTTTGTCATTTATTTTATTTTTTTTTAATCAGACTTAAAGACTGGGAAGTTGGTTACTAAAACTGTCTGCTGAGAGGCAGGAGACGTAGGTTTGTGGATTTTAGTTTAGGACTCCAAAAAAGGCTCTGGACCTGGGGCTGGTGGGGTGCCGCAGCAGATCTGCCAGGTCACTTATGAAGCCAGTACTGGAGACACTGGCTTGGGACTCCCAGCTGCCACACTGCATTAAGGGAGAAACGCCAGTCCTCATCCAGGTGATTTCTGTCCTGCTATACAGCTCCACTCTCTAAAATGGAGATGCGTTATTCACCTGCCACAGACTGCTTATTGTACAGCACTTAAAATGGAGACACTCCTTTGCCTCTGATGCTCCTGAACTCCTCCTGGGGTTTTTCCTAAAATTTATCATCTTATTTCTGGGTTCGTGCATGCTCAACCCATGAGGTAGGTATTTGCTACGCATCCAGCTACGCCACGAGAGGGCACTCACTGTACGAGATTTCACATCACCTTCTCCAGAGACAGAACATGAGCTCCTGTGGGTCTGGGAGGGCTAATGCATGTAGCAACCAAAAATGCTGAATGGTGGATGCTTGACTGTTTTTATCAGTCTCCGGATTTCTGCTCCAACTCCAAATGTACTAGTATGATATGCTTATAAAATTTGGCATGGCCTGCCTACATCTCTTAGTGGGTAAGATGAAGAGAAACTAAGTTAATATAGAACATGATGGTGGATGATCAGCACTCCATGAATAAGCAGTATGTTACTTAAAGTCATAAAGTATTCATAATATGGATGAGCTTTTTACATTCAGATGGCCATATTTATTTTTTACGTTAGTTGATGGACGTAAACAGAAAAACACTAAAGAAGATTTTATCTGTATTTTAAATAAAGTATTTACCTAATCTGTCCTAAGAAAATCAGCACAAATTAGAGGATATAAATGGGAAGGCATGTTAAAGGCTTGTAAGACATGAAAAATCGATGAATCAATGAGAACATGGTATTTTTGAAAAGGTTCATTCGCTAAAGTGTGTCAGGATGACCTACCTCCCCTGGTCGGATTTTGATATAGAAGTTGTTCCTCTTGTAGGAAATTTTCAGAACCTTTGGCCAGGCAAATCTATTTATTCTGAGTCTGTCTCGATATATTAAGAGACCACTTGCACAAACTCCTAGCATGATTTCCACTCCTTCAGAATCCTGGAAAAGCAAGAAATGCACTTTGTTGAGTATTTGTCTCCTTACATCTGACAGTACTACAGATTCTTGTATACGGTTTCTATCTGAGCTACGTCTTTTTAATGCATCAGCTGTAGTGACCTGGTTTCTGAGAGCTACCCTACTCATTGACTGCATTCATGAAAGTAATAGTAAGGTTGGGCAGGGTGAGAGAAACTGAGTGTTGCGAATGTTCCCTTGCATTTTAGAAAGACTCCAAAAGGGTGGGAGACTTTTGGACGTTATTAAAAGAATGATATTAGCCACACAGCAAAATTGTATTAACATAATAAAAAAGTGTTATTAGCATAAATACCAGATTGAGAGTAAGCAGGACAGCATACAAATTTACTTCTCTCGGCATCACTCTTCTCCATGACTAAGCCTTCTGAATCCTTAGATAGATTTTTCTTCTGTAGTTTGCTCACCTTGGCTTCAGTTGGTTTGCTAGTTTCTTTAATGCTGTTGTGCCTATGCTCAGTATTTTCACTTTGAAATGACCAGTGGGCAGAAAGTTGGGCATTTGGACCAGAAAGATTCTTTTAAAAACGTGCAGCTGGGTGCTATAACCCATTTTTGACAGGGAAGCTACAGGTCAGACACGTTATCACTATAAAAGATTTGGCCACAATCTTATCAGAATATACCCATAAATATGTATTTTTGAAGTCAGAAGTATACACCTCTCTTTCCTTTAGAAACCTTCAAATAGTCTAAAACCAATCTTCACTGTTTGCTATGACCATTAGACTGTGTAATTCTTTTTTTTTAATTTAGCTAAGTATTAATAGTACTTAGCTGGAGAAAAGAAGGATCCATTCTAAAGCACAGAGTTCTTCAGTAATTATTTTAAAATAACTTAAAAGTTACAAAAGTCTGACAACAGAAGCTGTGAAGATGTCACCCTATGATAATCATGAAATGAATTCCTTTTCCTCTGGTTTTCCCAACAAGCCATCTTTTAGGCACACTGTGAAAGTCTGATTACATTTTAAGATGAACACAAAGGCACGCATGGTCTGTCATGGTGCAAAGATTTGGATATTAGGAAAAATTTGGATAAAAAAATTTGGAAAAAAATTTGGATATTAGGAAAAATTTCTTCATCGAGAGAGTGGTCAGGCATTGGAACAGGCTGCCCAGGGACGTGGTGGAGTCACCATCTCTGGAAGTGTTCAAAAAACATGTGGATGTGGTGCTTCAGGACATGGTCTAGGGGACATGGTGGCGCTGGATTAATGGTTGGACTTGATGATCTTGAAGGTCTTTTCCAACCTAGTGATTCTGTGAAAGGCTACAGTAAAGCTTGAAAAAAAAAATTGTTTTAAAATCAGAGACACAACATAGAATTAGTGCCACAAAGTCACTTTAGTGTTAGGGAACACATCAATAGAGGATGTATGTTCCAACACTGATGATATCACCTCTTAAAGGTAGATTTTTTTTCCAAATAAAGCTCTCGTGCTATCATTGTCAGGTACTACAAAAGAGACAAAGCTAATTTTTTTCAGTGGACTTCAATTTCACCGTTTCCTATGCAAAGAGTAATGTTTAAATACAGTGAATACATTCTGAAAAAGAAAGTCTCATTGCCAGTAATATTACTGCCTGACAAATGACTGAAATGCACGCATGCTCGCATATGGCACAGAGCTGCAGGTGCGAGGGGCTCCTTCTTTTGCTATACTTTCTCAAACCTGAAATGCACGCATGCTCACATATGGCACAGAGCTGCAGGTGCAAGGGGCTCCTTCTTTTGCTATACTTTCTCAAAAACTCATTGAGAAATGCCCTCTTCCCTCATCCCCATCTTTGCAGCAGATCTAAGTCCATTCACGGCTTCTGTTATTTGTCAGTGTCAGAGATTGCTTTTCAATGGGATACTACTGGTGTAAAACGAAACCTGATTAAAAGAATTTGGCTTTTTTCAGGAGCGATGTCATTGCACGGAACAGAAAACTGATAGCTGTTATGTCCGAAGCACGAGACGTGGAGCTGCACATCCCTGCAGCTCTGCATACGAATGGGGGGCTTTATCAGAGTGGTGACAGCCCAGAGGACAAATCTGTCTATCTGAACACATTTTTTATGGTAGCCTTGTGTTGGGTAATTGAGAACTAGTTTTAACAGCAGCTGGCGAGCCCAGCATCTGTTGAATACCTAAGATACTGGCACAGCCTTAATGAATTGACATTTACATAGAGACATCTGCCATGGTGTGACTTCAAACAGGCATCCATAGAGATACTTGTCTCTTTGCCTGATACCACCAGATCTCACTGGCAGACCTAATTAAAGCTAAACATTACTTCTCACAGAGTCTACTCTTCCCACCTTCAGCTCACTTTCCAAGATTACTGTTGGGTTTCTTAACGCACAGACAGACCCAATCCAGTCAGCACTGCAACTTTTTAAATTAAGAACCCCACTTCAGAGCGAGATTGGCTCGTCTACCAACTTCTCTTGCTCCTAGTCTTTCCATATGAAAAACAGAAGAGTAAAACTGGATACTAATTAAAAAACAAAACAAAACACCATGGTTATCTCAGGATAACCTATCTTAAATTTCACAGGCTTTCTCCAGTACTCTAAAAAAAAATACTTAGGCCTTAATGCTATGCCTGTAGTGTATTGAGAACAGGAACTCCCTTAGTTGGGGTTTTGCAGATTTCTTTGTGTTGAATAAAGGATGTTGGAAAAAAGCTATTGAGTGACATTCACCAATCCATTTCTATCTCTGCTCCAAATGTGCCTCAAGATTTTGTGCTTATCTGCAAGACACAGGGAAGGCAGCGGCATACCTCCTGGTAGAGTGCTGCCCATTGAGCCATACCCAGAATTTCCATTTTTAGTGAAGGCAATTAACAGAACCCAAAAGATTGCCTTGAATTCTGTAACACATATGTGCAGCTCCTATGAAATGCCCCAGACACATGGTTGCAGGCCCTTTCAAGATCTGAGCTGCAAATTTATCTCGTTTCTTGAAAGGATCTGCTGCAGCACAAAATCAGGCTCACAATAACTCTGACTTTTACAGAAAATGCAGTGCTCTCCACAGCTCAGGATTCTTTACTCAGCACTCATTTGCCAAGGATATTTGCTAACCTCAAAGATCTTAAAATCCATTAGCCTTACTCTGAAGAGTGAAGAAAAATAAAGTAATTATTTATTTGGAAAAAAAAACCCACCAAAAAACAAAAACCAGACAACCAACACAAGGCTGGTAGGTGGCTCTCCCAAGCCACAATAAAAATGACCATGTTTTATTCATAACTTAACTTGCCGATGATTAGAGAAACTACTTCATCATGGGAGAATGTTTCCAGCAGAATTACTGCCCTTCCAGTCAACTGCAACGACCACACTTCAGAAGGGAGACAAGCCGCTGTCTCCCCATTACTATCAATCTTACTAGGTTTCCAGCACTGCTAAATAATTGCTTGGAAGTTCTCTGCAGTGTTAGAAATGATCTGCTTATCTAGTTAAGATACCATAGTTGGCCTTATTAAATTGGAAAATGTAGCTGAATGAAATGACAATTGATCACTCTCTGGACAGCTTCTAATATCCTTCCTCATTACTCTGTCCATTCAATATTTTCCCAAAGGATTTGGTTGTTTAATCAACATAAAAGGTTCATGTGCAGCATCTTTGAATCTATAGGCTAAGTTATGTTACAGTTACAAGATATATTTATGCTTACCCTGTGAGTCACCTTTCCTCATGTTGACACATGATTTATCCCCCAAAAATGCCCTTCTCAAAACAACAAGAAAGAATAAATCAGGGAGTCCGTGTAGATTCAAGTACTATGCCACAGGAGAAAGATGACCAGTAAAAGAACTAGAGTACATTGAGAACTAGAAAAGAACTAGAGTACCTTGGCGTGATGGAGATCTACTCCATACATTGACAGTTTTTTGGCATTCTCCAGGAAATGCATCTCAGCCTCTGCAGGTGTCATTCCCCTGAGGAAAAGCAACCAATTCTAGCATCAATGTTAAGGAAACAGAATCTAAAATAAAATCTATCAGCTGGAAAACATTTTCAGCCTGTCAGAACTACAGCCATACTCCTTAGGTAGCTGGGTACCTACCAGAGCCAAAGCTCTGGTGCAGACCCTGTTGCCTTTCATGCTGCAAAGCTCTTCTCTAACCAAAGACATGGAGAGGAGTTTTGTCCGAAAAATACTCTTACTAAGTATACCGCAGCGGATTTTAACATTTCCTGATGCACCAGGACAGCACCTGAAGGCAGGCCACAACGCATGCGGATGTCCTCTGCCTACCTGTGGCTCTTGTGCAGCTCGATCACTTTATCCTCCAGCTCTTTAGTGTGATTTGGCGCAAAGCGGAATTCGCTGATGTAGTCACTGCCGTACTCGTCGGGGTCGTAGTCGCCGAGCTCCGACTGCACAGTGTAGGAGCCCAGCAGGGCCAGCGTGACGAACGAGCAGGGCAGCCGACCCGACACGATGTCATCTCTCAGCTGCAAGCAGAGGTAGTACCTGCAAGGGAGCACCAAGGCGGCTCAGAAAGTGCCCCTCCACCGCTGCCCCCAGAGCAACACCGCCCAAGCACCGGCAAGAAGCCTTTGCTCCTCTACTCATTTGCAGACAACTCCCAAGCCCAAAATTTTTCAGGCATGAACAAGGATAATCATAATTTTGAAAATAACCAACCTTGCCTAACTTAGCGGTAGCAATGCCTAATTTAGCTTTATAAAGCATCATGGAGATCCCTTAATAAAACAAGTTATTACTTTGTTTAGTGACCTAGATAGAGAATTACCCATTAAACATACCAGGTTTCTGTCATAAATCATTAAGATATATAGCTACCTGATGATTCTTTTCTTTGAGGAGAAAAAATAATTAAAAACACCAAATAGGTTCATTAAAGGGTAGTTGAACTGCATGCCGTTCAAAACACGTGAGTTGTCTCTTTAGGAAACTGTTGAGCTTTCTCAAAAACACATTTAAACAGTAAATGCTGTTAAACCCACAGCGATAAGCAGTGCAAGGGATCACCAGATAGAGGAAAACAGGAAAAAAAGTGAAGAGCATTGGCTTGATGGTGAAGGCATGGAGTTCCCAGGGGAGATTTGAGAATGACAAGAAGAAAAAAGCAATCCTTTCTTTCGGAAGACCTCTGTTGAAGTCTGAACTCCTGGCACACTCTCTTTCTGCACAGTGCCTAGCACAGGGGACTCTGATCTAAGCCAAAGGCTTCATGCTACCTTAAAAGCAACAAGTAGTCCACAAACCAACGAAGGTTAAAAACATCCACCGGTTGCAAAATGTTATAATAGTCTAGGGAACAGTTTGTTGATAGCACAAAACTCATCATGGCTCAGAAGTTTTCCTGCGTTATACCAAGGATGAAACCAGGTGAGGGTTTTTTTCAGTTGTGGTTGCAATCTGAATACAAAACCAGAGAGCAGAGATGCAGACTGCAGAGCTAAGTGGCTTGGATAATAGGGATCAGCCATTCATTACCAGCATACTCCCTATGCTGTTCACATCGCATGCTTATTCTCATCCCACTTCTTTCCTTTTCAATGTTATGTTTTACTTACAATAACAACTTGTTACCACTAGCAAAAATAGGCATCGGGCATCCTTGTGGAAATTAAAATCAACTCTCAGGAATATGTATATTGGAAAAGCTGAGATTTAGAGTTAAATTAGACAAAAGTCTTCTTAGCTCCGAGGACAGAAACTGTTCAAATTGTCTTTTCTGCCAAAGCATTGCATATTTTCCACAAGCTTATAAGAGAAAGGAAGCCAATGGGAATACAAAACATTCCTTTTCTTGGATAATTAGAGTGTAAGTGCTACTACAAACAGCTTCTAAGCCCCTTCTAGAAAGGTATTTCATGTTTTAAACACCTGGTAATATCTTCAGATAGCTGGGCAGGGTCTGGAGGGTAGAATTTCACATTAAATGCAAACTGCCAAGCACCACCTGGAAAAGAAAACAGATTGACTGAAAGTACACTGTAAGCACAAACGGAGAGGCTTACACTGTTTGATTATCAGCAGATTTAAAAATACCCCAGCCAAGCAATTCCTATGAACAGGATACAGTATCTTTTTCCCATATATTATTCTGAAGATACTACTTTTCACTCACAATTACATTATTAGATCGTATGTTACAGCTCTTTTCTTATTTAGTAAGATTTCCACTGAAGCGAGGACCCTAAGGGAGCACTAATTTATTGCTAAATTAAAAAAAAAAAACAAAACAAAACCAAAACACCTCAACCCAACAGTGTTTACTGGAATTAACCATCTGAAAACACAGCCTATACAAATTTAAAAACCAATAACCCAAAACGCAGAGGCGCTGGAAACATGGCAAGCGAGAGAACGAATGGGCTCCGGAGCGGGGTGAGGTGCCGAGTTCTGGCTGCCCAAACCAGCTCACAGCATCCTCTCAGAGCGCTGCCTTGGCACATAGCTCCTGTCTCCAGCAGACATAAATTACTGTGCAGACAAAACTGCAAGGACAAAGACAGAGAGCACAACCGAAAAGCAGTACATGACACTGGGTACATGACACTTATTTAGCAATTTCAGGAAGCTTAGGTGGCCCACAGGATGGGTAAGAGTTTGCGTCACCACAGTTCGTGAAATTTTTTTTTGGAGCATTAGCTTTACATGTTGTGAAGGAAGAATATCAAGACTAAAAAAAAAGTAGAACATAGTAAATATAAAAGCTATTCTGAAAAAAGGGACAGTTTATACTAGTGCATGTCTCGAATGCAAATAAAAAGCAGTAACAAAACCCCAAACCACAGTGTTCTTACAAGCAACACGGTGCTTCTCCAGAAACAGGCTTTTCACCGAGACCTCTGTTGTGGGATATACCTCTTACATGTACTTCTACCACATAAATTACAGTATTTTTGCAGTGAAGAAACCAAAGCCAACACAAAGTGACACTTCTGTTTTCTGAAATGCACTGACATCAAAGTACAAATCTAACTAGAAATAAATAGATCCTTCTTGAAAAGTCCGTCTTGGCTGTATAATGAGGAAGTGCCCGTGAACACTGTGAAAAACAGAACTCTTCCTTACAAACCCTACAGGGTCCGGCTTTCCCACAATCTTCAATTCGGGGGCACCTTGCGCCTAGGTACCTCCTAAAGAATAAGGGGTTTGAAGGTGTATCTCGCGCACTCTCTGGTAAGACAGCTTATATGCCAGACAAGTCTGCTTGCCTGGAAATACTGTATGGTTGCTCTAATGGGGTGCTTGGGAGTATTCACTTAAAGACGACAAGGAAATTCCATCCCATGCAAAGCCCCATTCACTTTGGTCATCAACACACCCCAGAAAACACACTCAATATGCGAGAAGACTTTGACATTCACCATCAGGACTTCGACATTCACCATCAGGATTTCAGCTCTTGGTGAGACTTTTGGGCTCCTTGATTTTAGGAACTTTTCCACTCTCTTGGGCCATAAAAGCTGGTAGAAGGAAGGTTTGGCTGGCAGTGAGAATGGGGCATGGTCTCACCGGGGAGTGGACTTGGCCCTGAGGTGGGAGTGGAGCCTGTGGGTGACACCTGGCCCCATGACAGAGGCAAGGGGCCACAGTATGAAAATCTATTCCTCTGTCACACACAAAATAAATTAACTTTATGATACAGCCTATTATATAGCATGGACAGTTAAGACACCAGGGTAAGAGGCCTTCACCCCTTACTTACAGGGGTTTAAATAAAACCCAACGCTGTCCAAGTTAGCAGGTTATAACTAATGGGGTGCGAACCAGGGGCATCACACACGGCGACAACCTCATTTCTCAACCACTGGGATGAAAATCCCTGGGGGCTGCAGTGGAATCAAGGATAGCTGAGTGTTGTACAACTCAACCAGCATTAGCAGGGTTATATACATGTGTCTTGGAAAGTGTCATGGGTAACAGCTCTACTCTTCCAGCGTTGCCCTGTTCCAAACTTCTGGGGTGAACTGTACAGAGCAAGTAAATTATCGCTGTCATCTTCTGCAAATGCAAATGTCCCCCGTGTCATGTCCAGGGCAAGATTCTTCTGCCCCGGCTAATCTCTTGCTGTCACAACCTTTCATTGTCTATCTCGCAGCTTGCGCACGTATTAAATGCATTTCAAATCTTGTATTATATTCTTACTCCTCTGACTCATCGAGGTCTACAGCACCTTCTTCTCCAGATCCATCTTCTCAAGAGATTAAAAAAAGACAGGTTTTAATTCCTGATACTGCAGATCACTTACTTCTAATGAAAATAACACTGGTAGAAAGGTGTGGTTGCTCATAGGAAGTGGGGAAGTTTTCCAGACAGTGCAAATTAACCCTTTGAATCTTGGAGAGGGAGATGATTCATTTGCCAGGCCTGACCCAACAAACGTGAACTACCGGATGCATTTGCTTGTGAAAGCACAAGTGCTAGTTGAGATCATTTACAAGACGTGCGAAGAAAAAAAACTGCTGAGGTTTTCCTGCCACAAAAAGTCACACACAAACATTTGATCAATTTTAAAAAGAGAGGGGGTAAAAACCAAGGCAGGTCAAATTTTGAGCCTGGCAGCCTTGACATGGTTTTCCTTTGAGAGGCTTTTGAATTTCTAATATAGCAGATGGCTAAATTTAACAACCGAGCTTTTTAAAATATTCACGTGAAGCAGAAAATTGAGTGGTTCTCTGTGAACTGAATGGTCATTTTAGGAACAAAGTTCAAGCTTTTGAAATGCAGGAAGGAAAGATATTTCAGATAGGGTGCTATCTTTGCATCAGTGAAGTATTTCAGTATGGGGCACGAGCAGCGTTCCTGGGTATGATTTAAATGTCAGTAATGCAAGAAATGATTTAGATACGTGGCCTAGTCCTTAAGGTTACGTTTCTTAATGTTAAACTTCAGGTTTTTGCATCTTTGCAAATGTCAAGTTGTTTTCAGCAATGCAAGTTCACGTGTTAGGAGCCTCAGCATCCGCCTGCACTCATGATGGGGTAAAATACCTAAAAGATGCAGGTAACTCCGGTGCCAAGAGACTCAGGAGAGGATGCGAGAGGCGACTGCAAAGCAGGCCTTGTCGCCCCAGGGGAGCGCGCTCTCCTTGGGGGGAAGGTGGTGAGAAGGGGGGCCATGGCCTTGTCCTGCCTGTCCCCGCACCCTGCAGGCAGCGGGGCTGGGGAGAGGGGGCTGCTGAGCCCCTGGGGCCGGGGGCACCCCGGTGGGACTGGCCCTTCGAGCCAAGAGCAGCGAGTTACCCCAGCAGTTTAGGAACAAGCCCAGAGGATCACAGAATCACTACGGCTGGAAAGGACCTTCAAGATCATCAAGTCCAACCATTAATCCAGCGCCACCGTGTCCCCTAAACCATGTCCTGAAGTGCCACATCCACACGGTTTTTGAACACCTCCCAGTGATGGTGACTCCACCACCTCCCTGGGCAGGCTGTTCCCATGCTTGACTACCAAGCATCAGGATCAGAGGGGCTGGGCAGTGAGGGGCACGTGGTGCTCACGACATGCCGCTGGTGTGGTGGGGAGCCCCCTCTGCCTCTCACATCCCTGTCCGGTGCCACGGGGGTCCAGTTTTGAGGGACACCCATTTTCGTGTAGATCTTAGGGTGTGGATACACCAGAATGATGTTTTCCAGAGCCCCTAAAATAAACACACAAATGATAACAAACTTACTTCGGATCTGCTTCTTGATTTCCTTGGCAGGGTCCAACCAATTCTGCAAAGAAAACGTTTCATTTTTTTCAATCTGAATTAGAAAACACAATAAACATTATTCGTAAAACACAGCTATGAGTCAAAGCTAGAACATGCAAAGGTCTGACACCCCTTTCTCCTTGGAGCAGCAGTAGGCAGGGATAACACTGACTTTCACGATGTGGCCCTGGGTAGAAGCAGAATTTTTATTAACTTTCTCAAAGATTGAGGGGCTGAATGGTTTGAAATAAAAAATAAAAAAATAAAAATTAGTAAAATAAATCCACAGAAACCTTTTTCCAGAGTATCTTCGGGGAAAATTTAATTTCTACAAGCTTGTTAAGAAGGGGTTTTCTGTTTGGTTGGTTGGTCTAATCCTGGAAGGGCTGAAAAGTTGAAAAGCCTTGCTAGAGGATAAGCAAGCATGGCATAGGGCACTACCCCATACGCAACCCAGCGCTGGCACGAGGGGCTCCCGGGGGCAGGGGGAGCGCGGGGGGAGACCAGAGGCAGATCCGCAGCTCCGGGGCCGCCCCGGCGCA